GAGACTGATTTCAGGCATTAATGATATATAAAGACAGATTATTATTATTATTATTATTATTATTATTATTATTATTTAAATTGCTATACAAGTTTGTTTTTTCTCTAATATAAAGATGCATGCTAGAAACAAAAATCAGTCCTCTTGGCTGACAGTTACTTTACAATGAATTGCATATGTGTAATTCCTTTTGTTGTTGTTGTTGTTGTTGTTATTGCCCAGGACTGAGAAATTTATCCTATATTTATTCTAATAAAGTAACAATTCTCTTCTGGGATATCATCTTACTCTATAATCCTAGGCATTGTTACTTAAGAGGTAGGTGCTCAGAAATCACTAAGACTTGTTTTACATTATGCCTTTTATTAGTTTGAAGTATTATCTTTTAATAAAAGATTTAGGAATCTCACATATTTTCTTCAGATTGCTTCTTCATTCACAATTGGATGAAACAGCTCCTTACATTAAAAAGTTTACTGCCCAAAATTTCTAGCTACCTATGTCTGCTGTTCCTTATAGATTCTTCCATCATTGTTTTGATTTTCCAACCCATTTCTTTAGAATACAGACAAGCCAGTCATTTTTATACATTTTCTTCCCTGTTCATTGGCTTAAGATTCTACAAAACCTCCAGTCTGCAATTTGGAAATCACAACTATGCTGTGGGGTGGTGGATTCTGCAATTTCTTCTCCAGTCTTGTGCCAATTTCTTTCGGCTTTCTTGGTTTATGTGTATCCTAATTTGGTATGATGCAACAATGGACAGCCTGTAGTTGAGTTTATCAAGAATTGCCTCCAAGTATGCTAACCATAGTTTGGAGGGAGGTCTAGTGAATGCTTGTCTAATTTGGATGTACTGATAGACCAGGGATTGGCAACTTTTTCAACATCCAGGCACTGTCATATGATAATCTAGATGCCCATTTCTCCATTGTCAAAATCTTGCCAAGAATTTGAATTTTTTATGGCTTGCTGACCCATAGATTTCATGCTCATATTTGCAGGAATGGAAGATTAATAGCTAGGATGATCTTGGAGAGGTGGTAGGTTGCAAGTCTTTTTATATTGGTTTTGAAATGAGCAATTAAAAAACATTTTAAATTAATTATTAGACTTATTTTTATTAACTATTTTTGTGCAGATCTTCTAAAGCAACTAAGCAACTGAAGATCTTCTCACTGAAGATTTTAGCAGTCAAAACGTTTGGGAAGTGATTCTTATCATTGAAGAAAAATGTATATTGCAATTCTGCTCGAACAACTTCACTCCTGTTTTGAAACTTAATTCTTACTGATAGACCAAAATCAAAAAATGAATAAGGAATGCATGCTTCAGAAAGAGGGGTTAGGAACCAGTTTCTGTGGCATGTGGACCATGTTACATTTTGAATTCATACACTTCTAGTCTATTTATCTGCTATATCTAGTGACGTTGCAAGAAATTTGAGGGCAATTTAACTCATAAAGGATTGGATTTTATAGATGTGTGATGTAGCAATTTTGGGGAAATTATTCTGTCAATCAGAAAATATCACGTTATCTCTTCCTTTGGAAAAAGATTAATGGACAGGCTTGGTGAATACTGAAAGCTTAGTTTCCTCTTTCAAAGATTTAAAAAATCAGATGAACTTGGAATATACAATGGTTACTGTAACTTGCTCTCCATGAGCCATATTCGAAAACAAACTGGAAACTTCAGTTGGTACAAATGAGGCTGCCAGCATTTAAGGAAAAACTTCTTGTATCCTGAGAAGACATCAGGCTAATACATAGTTTAAACTTCACAAGAATTACTGTAGCTGTGTACAATGCAGATGGGAATTACAGTATCTTCAAACTGCCTATTTATATGCTTTTCTCTACTAAACCCTTGCCTCTTATAGTCCTGGTAGAGATAACACTCCTGCTTGATTAACTTGTTCCTCCATTGGAATGAATAGCCGGCTTCTGG